ATTTCACGTGTTTTATATAATGTTTGAATAATTTGTTAGATTTTAGTCTATATTTCATAGACGTAATAGTAGTTATTTTGGTTACAAATACTCCTACATTTGCTTCATCTAAATATACAGTTTTTCTACACATTAGGATAAAACAAAAAAATATATTTATTATTAACTCTCTATCCAATGCTCAATTTATTTTAAACTATCAAGTTCAACATTGACCTTGATACCTATAAACTAATTAATAATCAAATCAAATTATCCAAGTGCAAACGTAACTGATACAATCATCGAATATTTAATAAACGTTGTCTAAACAGTAACATTATTCCCAGATCATTGATTGTTAAACTACTAGAACGTTCGTATCAACCTATTCCTACTGCTCAACGTGCATCACGAATCGTTTTGCAATATCTTCTAGTTTACATGCCAGTACCCAACAATGTTTTCTTAATTATATCCGGTCATTTTTCTTTAGCCCGTAAGAATTAATACTTTCATAGGTTCAAATTGATTTAATGAATGTATGAGATTCCGATATCTTTTTGAATGTAATACAAAATATTTCAATGTCTTCAAATTACTTTTTATGTTTTAAACTTGATTGGTTATTAGCAGTGTAATTTGTTATCAATTAATTAGTTTCTTTTATATTACATTGTAGAAAACCAGTTTGACATTTACTTATTCTTACCAAGAGAATTTGCCAATACATATACATATTAAAAAGAATGGAATAGTAAATATAATTAGATATTTACCCTTTGGGAATGTGATGCTACAAATCATAACTTAATCGAATTGTGAGTTATTCATACAAGTATATCAAATTAAAAGTTGTAAATTCGACTTATAAGTATCTCATTTTTTTTGGCTGAATGTTATGTATAAAATAATTTGATTAAATAAAACCGAAAAACGTAGGGATGGATTTTCCTATGGGAACTACGAACAAATAAACGTTAAAGCAATAAGTCCACGATGAGTCAGTAAAGCAAATAATACATTTGGGACAAGTTATTTTAATAATATGTGTAATAAAGCCTCCACTCGGAACATAAATCTATTTTGAAAGAAAAAGAACGATTATATCTTTTACACCAAATAAAATAATATTAATAATGAATGTTGTCATAATCTCTAAAACGGAAGATTACAGGCTATTTATTATAGATTCATGCAAATAACTTATAAACATAATATTAGTGAGGGTAAATATCGATACAATTTAGTATCTAACTATAATCAAATAATCTAAGTTCACTTTTTATGTCCATTTAGATATCGAAAAGTGACCTTCAAGTCATAAATAACAAAATAATAATTCATTTTTTAGCTCAATTCATCATATTTAACCATCTGATCAGAAAAAAAAAAATGTTTTTATTATATGAGCATTATTGAATATCACTTCTATTGGGAAATGAATTATCTTATATACTACATTTCAGCTTAATTTGAAATAAAATGTCATCAAATATTTTTTCGCAGTATAGAATATTGGAGATTATTGAGTTTTAATTGAGATCCTTAATAGATTAATGATCCCGGCTCAGTGGTCTAGATGTCAAGCGTTCACGTGCAAGACCGAAGGTCCTGGGTTCAAGTCACACGTGAGGGATGAGCATTGCTGTAGAGTCTCATACTAGGACGAAACGGCCGTTCAATGCTTTCAGGTTTTCAATAGTGATCTATCATTGATCAGTTCATGACCTTAATTAAATACTTTTTTTAATCGAATGCTACTTTGGAATATGATAATTTTCAATCAGTAATTATTGTCTTTGTGCCAATCTCACTATAAATAACCTATAATAATTCTAGGAGAATAATAAAATCCATCGGCAAGACATTGATAAAAATTTAAAAGTGAAATACTTTAAAAACTGATGCATAAATGTCTGTTTGTATAAATTAGAAAGCTAAAAGTAAATAAATAATATCTGCTTTCAAGTACCCATGTAGTGACAGTAAAAAAAGTTTTGCAACTAAAGTAATCAAGTTATATTCTGTTTTCTTATCGGGTTGCCTCTGTATTCATCCCTTAGTACTTCTGAATTTCTGAAGCACAATAAACCGACTGAAATCAAACCTTCTATATGAAAGTAGGGTTCAGCACTGATGTACAAAACTCATGAGTTACTTTGTTCGAATCCTGTGAATTCTATTTCACTAAATTTGAACATATAAATGAATCAGATGACAGTAATCTGACTGTAAAATATAATTTATTTATGCCATTTGAACTTCATTCAATACACACAAAAAGTTGAACTTCTATGATAGAAACATATCGAGTTTTTATCAGTACTTTTATCATAAGTTTCCTAAAATTTATTTATCTTTATTCATTAGTTGAAATCATGAGTCATTTGAAGCCAGACCGCCATGTATAACCTGGAAGCACTGGACGGCTGTTTCGTCCCAGTATGGGACTTCTCAGTATTGCGCACCTACGATCCCATTCACAGGATTCGAACCCAGGACCTTTTGTCTCGTGCGCGAAAACTTAATTTCTAGACAACTGAACTAGCCGGCACCCAACGGTGTTAATGTCTAACTTCAACAAATTAGTGAAATTACGCAACCGTCTACTACAATCTCCACAGAATCCCTTTTCTGATAATAGTTATTATGTGCTTACTAGTAACTGGCTTCAGGAGGTGTTTCCTGAAGTTCTAGTAAGAAGCTATGGTCAGTGGATTTCAATTGTATCTGTTGCGAAGCAACAACTTACTGAAGATCATGCAAACGGGATCATGGTTGCGCAATACTGAAGAGTCCCATAAGGGGACGAAACAGCTGTTCAGTGCTTCCAAACTTACCAAGGTGGTTTAGCTTCAATCGACTCATGAATTCAACTATTAAACTCATAAAATTGTTATTTGTTTCTCATAATTTTTTATTTCTACTAATAGTTTTGCATGTCAATAGAGATAAAAAGAGATCATTCTAATTAGCTTTATAATTAATTTTATATTTTTATTGATCATATATAGCCTCTTTTTTATTGATAGTCTACTTAATACCTATACATAATTCCATTTAATTTTTAATAAATATACTCTTTTCAGAATACAGATTGAATAACTTCATTTATTATTGATTTGAACTAATCACTGAAATTATTCTAAGAATCGTTGAAAACTCTGATTTGAAACTCCTTAGATTTATGAACCTGTAATTCCACTAGAGATTAGGCTCTGTACTCTTAATTCTTTTAAATAACACAATACTTTTTGACTATTTCACTGAAAGACAATGGTTATGTATTCACACATCAATAAATAGTCTCTGATGTGAAGAAATGAGATATTCAGTATTTTTTTTCTTTTTCAAAGGTTCTTTGACTAAAATAGCTCTGTAATGAAAATTTCCTGTAAAATATATAAACATTTCTATAATATCAATTTAATGAGTTAGTATTTAACTTATCAATTGTAATTTGTTTTATATTACATAATTTTGAAGTATATATGTCGTAACAGATGCAATCGTTCACCCTTTTGAACATATAACATTTTCAAATTCTTTATTTCATGGTTTGTTGTGACCATTGTGAAATATTACAATAATTATGAACTTATAACTGTAGATCCTGATGATAAAGTTATTGGAAACAATTGTTCACTCAAATATTCTTCATTTTTGAATATTCTATGGGGATTTTTAAAGAGCTAAAACTTTCCGATAATCTATAAATAACAGTTATGTAGTGAACAGAACACTAGTTGGGAAAATCGAATGCATTTGACACGAAATTACAGAACAACTCACTAAAATCTGAGAACCATATAGTAAATAGTTAATTTGCAGAATATCAATCTATCGTCTCAAACTTCACTGTTCCTTTTGCAAATATCAGCCCATTGTCTCAGATTTCATTGTTCATGTATTTTTATGTCGATTGCGTTCCGTTTCTGTTCTTTCGTCATCGATCTTCTGCTGAAATACATTCTATACCTCACCACCGTTATATACTACTTATATGGATATAAGTAATCTACATCACAATTATAGTAAGATTTCGTATAAATAATTTGAAAATTATAGAATTTGTGATAAAATTCCACTTACAGATCAAACATACTTCTTTAATTTCCTGGTAAAACAACATGTTTCACAATTAGCAATTGAATAGGCTTAAAAACTTGTGTAACTCATAGGATTACTTATCTTGAAGAATCAATGAAAATAGTTAAACATAAATTATTTTCTTTTTTTTGAATAGTCTTTAGTATTAACACTATTAGTAGAGAATCTTTACTTCAGGGTGATAAACAGTACAGTAGTTACTTAATTTTACTGGTTTCGTAATTGTAGTACAAGTTTCCCATAAGCCTTTTTATTACTCAAATTTATTTTTTTTATTCTTGAGTGCTACTGTTATAGATTACAGTATCTTATAAGCTATTACAATGTACTCTCATTTATAATTTATTCCAATTAATTATTGGATGAATGCAAGTTTTACACATATTAATTAGTCAATAAATGGTGAAAAAATAATCTTAGGCATTTTTAAAATCTCATTTTCTAAAATATAATACAAATTGATGAATTGAAATTTGTTTTTCTGTTTTATTTCTGTTTTACCTTTATTATTTTCTCTTTTTGTTTCATACTTTCAGAAAACATTTGATCAAAAAACTGTGAAAATTTATACATCAAGTCAATGTCGCAATAATGATTACTCTAACTGATATACAGAAAACAGGTACACAAAATGTCTCAATAAATAATTCGGTAAATATTAACAATTCTATGGTATTCATTATTAATCCAGAAAAAGTAGAACTTCAACCTGGTTTAATTGCCTTAGTATCACTTATGGCCTTAATATTATTAATTATGACTGCTATACTATTATTACCGAAATCAATTCAAGATAACGTTTTCAACTTGTATTACATCAGACACCAGATCAAACTTTTAATTATATCGATGTAGGTCTGTACAAAACTAGACATTCGATATATCGTAAAGAAGTATATTCATTAGCTATGCAAGGCAATCAATCTAAAAAGAAATTTGAAGCGCATACATTACTTAGTAGTAATAATAATATCGATTCAAGTAGATCCAAACATAACAATCAATCAAAAGAAACATCTACAAAACCTATCATTTCATCAGTTTCAGTTTCAGAAAATTACGATAGACCTAATCAGTGTTCGTCTTCAAGTTTAACAAGTAAATACTTATTTCCTTTGGATGATTGGCATCTTCATAACCAAAGTTCACAAATGAAAAACACAAAATCAGTAATGTTTACTGAAAATTGCTGTTCTGATGTTAATAATAATGATGATAGCAGTTGTACAAATTATCGTGAAAATAGTGATAGTAATATTTTTGCAAGCAGTCGACGTAATTCAACTCCAAATGTAATAAATGATACCTCTGTTTATGCTTCAATGGACATAACAGCTTCTTTATCACACATAAGATATTCTCTGCCTTCATGTTTCACTCAAAGTAATCAAGGCATCAATTCTTCAAGGTCACTAACGTCACTAGCAATTTCACCGAATTCAAAACAGTTATTATCCCTCAATAAACGTGTACGGCTTCAACTTTCAGATACTTTTATTAACGGATTCAAGTAGTGTTCACAGACGACGATTACAATCCATATTTAGACTATGTAGCCATCTGGTTAGGCACCTGGTGTGATCATCTATGTGCAAATATGTACATCTTATTAATCTGTAGACTAAGTCAGCAGCTCACACTTTGATAGAAAAGTGTAATCTGATTAACTTTCAGGTATTTCGACTTGACTGACAGGGGAATTGTGGAACGATGTCTTAAATTTGGCCGTAACCCAGGTACTTTTCAGCATAATTCGTCATTTCTAGACTTTTTTTTGTTAAGTCATTAGTTGTTTGATTCTTTGTAAATTATCCCCCTTTTGTTCTTACAACATGCGCAAAACACACTTTTTATGTAAGAATCAGTTTTACTTATTGATTTCCAGACTAGAACACTGGTATTACGTAGTAGGGTCATTTTTCAAAAGTTGGAAAACAATGAAAGCTTCACGATCAAACTATCTAACTCAGAAGACGAAGCTCCACCTAAATCAAGCTTGATCTTCACTGTGATGAAACGAGTTCAAACTTTTCAAAGTATTATTCAATGCGTCTATAATATTTATAGATCAGAATCACAATGAGATGGAAATAGTAGACAGAAAAACATACAGACGAACAAGCAAAAGAATATTATAAAAACAGAAATACAAGTCATTCGATTTACAATTGGTCAGTCACTGAGTGGTATAAAATATCAATGTATCCCAAGTCCATCTTTTGTGCTGATCTAGTTATATCAGTGAAGTTGTAATGTGATCACTAATCTAGGTGATTCGAGATCATGTGAACTATGTTGAGACACAAGGCAATGGTCAGAGGTAGTGGACAGAAAACCCTCGACTTGATTGATAAAATTAGACAGACGCCTAGAAAATTTGACTTGAAACACATGACGTCAGCTACTAATAAGTGATCGAGCGATTGTAGATCCATTCCAATCCTGTGGGAGGTCAGAGATGACTCAGATAACGTAGTGGTAACATCTTAAACTATAAATCTGGATGAGACGGGATCGAGTCGACGAGGAAGCATTGACTCTGTCGTAGATTACAGACACACCTTTTTGATGAGTTTCGAATAGTATGAAACCTAAGTCTAGAACAAAATATTTATCAAAACTATCTACTCAAATGAGTCTAACTGCTACATTGAAAGAGCAGTGTAGTTACTTAGAAGCAAATCTGATGGTAGGGGAAATAACTCCAAATCAGACCTACTAAATAACTTGATGTTGTATTGTAGGGATGAAGATTCTCTTAATATTGCAAACTCTGTAAGGTTTTCTAATTAATGGCTGCAATCTAATATAGCTAGACGACAATGATGGAACATCTTAAGTCGCGTAATCATAATTCGAACTCATTCCATTTAATGACTCTCTAAACAGACTCAACCTAAGTTAGTGGCCGGGTGGTATTGGGTGGTGTTTGTATGAACTAACGATTCCTTTGTACTTGATGACTGCCTGGTTCAAAGTCCAAATACAATACGTTCATTTGTGCTCATCTAATACTTTTTTGGTAAATTGCGTTATTTCTGGGATTCCTAGTTTGCACTATAATTCAAATACTTCAAACTATCACAATTGATGCCTTAGATTTCTAAAATCAACTTTTCGCAACATTATCTCGATGGTGAACTACGTGTTGTCCGCCAAGGTTCACTATGTAAATGAGGAACTAATAAATTCTTGTTGAAAATGGTGAAAATTAGAGGCGCTTTCGACCTACCTTTCAAAGCTTATTGCTAGATGACAACTTCCAGGACAGATGTGATCTTAGGTATTAGACCCTTTATCTCTTCATACTAGTGATGTTCAGACAAAAAGATATACTGTTGTGGAAATAATGTTCAGAACTCTGAACGGATGGATCGAAATATCACCAGAAGTTTTCCGCAGTGGATTTATGAAATTTGACACTGAAAGGCTCTTATAGGGTCAGTGAAATTTGACTGAGCCCTAGCCAAATCATCGGCAGTTGGACCATTGAATATCGAACGAATCACCGATCTTCGTCAAGGTCAAGGACAACCAACGCGCATCAGTTATTCGTACGCCATGGACTGGCTCATTCGGCGGTGGTCTCGCTTTCGCTTTTATCTACTTTAACCAATATATTTCTGTAATGAAGTCCTCTGTGTTGTGCAGTCTTTAAGGCAGCTATGGTACTTTGATACGTCAGTGGGGTGGTTCACGTAAGTTGCCGACCACGAGGTGTGACTTCGACGTTAGCTGGTTCGTCACACCATTCCCGTCTAATTCGAGTAGGCCTCCGATCACTCGACATAGACCATCTACGCTGGTGATCTACACTGTTGAGCAAGACTTCGAATAACGCAACCTATCACTATAATCTTTATTATTGCTATCTATACTTATTCTTCTTCATTTTTATCATTGCCCATGTTGATCTATTACTGTGAACTTTCGTTGCTTCATGTCAATATTGATTAGTATTTAAACTTAAATAACTAGTTTAATAGATAGAACCAATCAACTTCGATTATAATCATTTATCATGGTTCGTTAACAAGCATTGCAGCATGTAAATGCTCCTGTGTAATGTGTCTGTTAAAATACCAACCACTCGTGAGTATAGCCACAAGAAAACACGAACGCACATCTGTTTGTAACTTATCCACTGGTATAAGTGAGACAAGATTAACTGTCGACTATAAATTCATCTTTCTATTTAACCACTATCCACGTGAATGTTTTAATTTTTTTACCACCGCCTGCCTAATTTCCAACTGCTGAGTTCCATGGCGAAAGAGAGGATACGAATGCTAGAAATTTATGGTGAGTTTGAACTATACATTTTCTGCAACCTTAGATCACGTTTAGACTGTTCGTCAGGCAATGCTACGTATTTGGCTTAAATTAATTTTGGACTTATGCAAATTCAGTCTACAACGCTGTGTTAATCCAAGAATTTAATCAACAGTACCTCGTATATGATCCAGATTCAAACTACTGTCTACTTCATATCTCCATTACTTTGAAGCAAGAGTAACCCAGGCGAGTTTCATAATCTCATTAAATTACTTAGTGCTAAATTTATGATGCCTAATAACACTTCGTGGTTTCTTTCACGTGGAATACTTATATATTCTGTCACTGCCGTCGTTTTAATCAAAATCATGTGCATTTATGACTCGCAATTCGACATACTGTGGTAAAACATGTTACATGTACACGAGCAATCTTAGTCCATGTCTTCAGTAGACACTTTGTTGTACTTAATGTCACTTAACGCTAGGTAATAATCTCTTTGTATCAGCCTTTTACGAAATGGTCACGTTACCTGAACCATCTAAACTTTAGTTACATTGGTTACGATTTTAGTTAATGTTTACTATACTCCTAGTATTTCACACGGTAAATCATGGCTCGATTTCCTTATTACACGACAGTCATTTTAATTCTATTTTCGGTTTATTTGTATACAATACGGGTTTGGAAAATATCTAAACGTCCTCGAAAATTCTCCACGAACCCAACCATAGTTTTCGTATATGTTTTCATTCACACATCCAACTGTTACGCTAATAATACCCAAACGAACGTTCGGTGCAACTGTCAGTATACGTAAGAACGACGTTATTTAGATTTAACTTTGTAGCATATCTGAACTATTGTAGTTATTCTTCTTCGATGTCGGACTTTATTTTATGAAGTATTGTTTTCTTGTGACTGTTATCTAACAGATGATTTCGGTACATCAATCGGCTGTTTAACTACTACTTATAACAATTTTTGGATGGACACAAATCTGTGAATCCTCGTTCCTTTCGCCCAGTCAGTCCGTATTGTCACCTAATATATCCATAGCCGGTGTTTTCCATCCAACATTATTGTTTAGGCCTCCCTTAAGAATTTTCAGGTCTTTTTGGACACTTCACCTCAATCGACTGCAGCCTCTCATAAAACTAATCTTTTCCGTCTTCGTTGCCATCATTGGTGTGTGCGTAACATTCATAGTAATTCCCTCCTTCTTTGTTTTGAAGGATGCTTTTATGATTCAGGGTCCATGAGATTCTCATCCTATGAATGTTTTACGTGCTTCTTAAGGCATCATGAGAGCAACACCCAGTGTGTGTAGCATTTTACTCTTCGTGATCATAATACAGCAGCATCTTCCCCGTACGTAACATTTGCTATCCAGCTTTGGTCCAATGGATTTGCCTGATTCCAAGAACCGCCAAGCTGTATATTCTCACTTCCATTGCAGAGTTTAAATGTTTGGATTTGTTTATTCTGGTCAACATTTTTTCAGCAAGGTTGTTTTCTACGGGATGAGGTCGCAGACCGCATACCCAACTTTTCACCTTTACCCAAGCTCGGGATCTACAGTAACCCTTGAAGAGCTACAAGTGAGGTTGGTTATGTGATCAAGAGACGTAATAAGGTAAAAGATTGGCCTACAGTCACACCCAGAAAAAGAAAATTAAGAAAACAGAGTTAAATCTCTGCTTCTGACGCCAAATCGGAATGCCGTTAAAACTCCACAGAGATTTAAGACGGACCTCGCTGATAAGTCAGTCACTTTTCATAAGTTAAGAAAATCCTCAGAAGATGAACAAAATGGTAGATTTCATGATAACCTCAGGCAAATTAGGTCTTTATTAGGCAAGGTACCTCCAGAAATAGAATCAGGAGTTGGCATCTGTAAGCTTTACAGAATAGTACAAAAATGGATTGTGAATGTACTCAGAACTGCCTCTTAAAAGTTGCTTTTGCTTCGTCTGATGAAAGAAAACTAATACTGAGAAACCCACGCAAACTGATTGGATCCAGAAAACACATCCGTGAAGATCTCAGCCTGTTTGACCGCATTAAGAGATGAGCTGCAGAAGTATAAGTAAATGAGCGCCACCGAAACAGCAAAAAACCCCGTACTTTAATGTTTTTGAAGTGTAAATGTTCGGAGTAAAACGATCCCCAAACGACTCTGTTGGTAAGGGAAAGTTCTCCACAGAATTAGAGGTGTGCTACACAAATGCTCTCAGCC